TTTCTCAAGTCTTGGTCTGAGTTGAATTCTCTCCTCATTTTGCACTCTTACTGGATGATCGCATTCATTCTGGGGATGTCCTTTTACTTCAGACATGGACAACAACCAAGTTTTTTGTCCCCACTCCGCTGCTCACTTGAATTGCAGCCAAGATATTGAACTACCCACTTGTCCTCTCTGTTGGAAGTTTCACAAGTACTTCAAAATGTGTATGTTCAAAATTCAATTTCTGAATGTCTTCCCCTAATCCTGGACCATCAGTATCTATCTTAATGAATAGCATCCTCACATGCATTTGGATGCTCATGCCAGAAGAGTGAAAGTTAACCTTGACCACCTTCTCCTTCTTGCCCCCCATGTTGGTGCTGCTGATATTTCAGGGTTCCAAAGCCATGTGTCTACACCTCCCCTGCTAGCAGCCATTATTTTTATTTTTTTTTTTTTGTCTTAATCCAGATTATGGCAATATCCTCTTATTTGGACTCCCTGGAACCACTCTTCTTGACCCTCTATGAGTCTACTCTCCAACATAGCAGCCCACAGGGATTTTTTTTAATACCAGTCTCCTTAAAACTCTTTATTGGCACTTCAGATAGCATCCTGAGTCTTTCCCATGGTTGATCCCCTGCTGACTTGACCTTCTTCCTCAAGGAGTCTGTCCCTCGTCTGCTGTGCTCCAGCCGCCGTGCTCCTCTCACTTCCTCAGCTAGCTCCTGTTCCTTCGGGCTTGCCTCTGTCAAGGCGGCACTGTGGCTTTGGCACGCTGCAGGCACTTTTGGCTTATGTGCCCCTTCAGACATTTTCTAAAAGTTTGCATTTTATGATAACATTGGTACAAAGATAAATATAACCCAGGTTGGATTCATTTCTTTCCTTTTTCTATCAAGATAAAATTCACACAACATACATTTAACCATTTGAAAATGTACAACTCAATGGCATTTAATCTAGTCACAATGTTATACAGCCACCACCTCTATCTAGTTCCAAAGCACTACTTGAAAAAGGAACCCTGTACCTAGAAAGTAGTTACTCTCCATAACCTCCTTCAGGCAGTCCCTTGAGAACCACTAATCTGCTTTCTGTCTCATGGATTTATGTCTTCTGGATATTTCGTATAAGTGGAATTATATGGTATGTCGCCTTTTGTATCTGGCTTCTTTCACTCAACACCACATTTGGAGGACCATCCACAATGGAACATTATCAGTACATGACTGAATGTTTTCATGACTGAATAATATTGCATCGTTGTGTGGATATATCATATTTTGTTCATCCATTCGTCCACTGGTAGAAATTTGGTTGTTTAACCTTTCTAGTATTATCAATACTACAATGAATATTCATGTATAAATATTTATTCAAATGCCTGTTTCAGTTTTGGGGAGTAGATACCTAGGAGCAGAATTGCTGGATTCATTATTCTCCTGATTTTAAAACAAATTAAAAACATTTGCATGGACCCCTAAATGTACTATGAGCTTAGGCCCTGTGCCTACTGTGCCTGATGATTAAGGGACCCGGGATTCTATTCCTTCCATCTGAGATGCTTCTAGTGCATATTTGCTGCACCACGGGAGGGTGCAAAATGTCCATTGGGAAGAACTACTGTGTCTTGCAGAGGAGATGGGACCCACTGAGTAAGATGAAGAGTGGATTATTCTCAATTTCCATCCCAGGGAGAAATAAATTGATGGCAATAGTTATTCTGCACTCATAGCGAAGAACTGCTCTGCACATCTGTATGTATAATCAACCCACTGTCTGGCTCCCTCAGCTGGAGTCGTATCTCCCATCTCCCCAGCTCCTGGCACCAGGGTCCTCTTTATTCTCATGCTCTTCCCCCAGCTCACTACCTCCCCTCAGGGAACCTGCCTTTAACAAAAGAAAAATAACTGATGCCTCTAGTCCCGAGGATGACACTGGTGATGTCAGATAGTAACGTCCAACCCAGTTATGCTGACCTGGTTCTTTTTTTCAAGATATTGTGCTATTGGAAAGTCTCAAGTAAACTTTGAACTTCCTGAAGAAAGAAATTCCAAGTAGAATAAAGGATAAATAAAGTATAAGAGAAAGCATGGTGTTTTCCTGGTACTCTGTCATAGAGCTTCTCTGATACTTTTACAGGAACCTGGTGGTAGCCGAAAAGACAGAGGAAGATAGCCGTGTTTTGTCTGAACACGTCTGTCTCTTTTTATGTTAACCCCGAGTTTCTCTATCTCCCTTCTCTTTGTTTCTTCTTGCAGTTTAATTCGGCTTAAGACTAAAGGGGACTGGTTCAGAGTTTTTGTCAAAGGGGATGAGGTATCTAAATTTACCAGTCTAGCCATCTAGACTTATCTCTGTCTTCCTCACCATCTGTCTGCATACCAAGTGCTTAAGAGGAAGAGGCTGGACAGATCTGCCATGTTTCATGTTCTTCGCATCACGACTTCCTTCTGCTGACATTCGTAACAGAAGATTATAGTCAGAAAAAGTCCCTACCCAACTTTTTGGGGGACAAGCCCACAATATTTTCCATTCCCCCTTTTAATTACATTTGCTCTGTGGTTTGGGTAAGCAGACCACATTGCTTGCTGCCTAAATTATTTTCCAACGACCCAATTGCTCCATCCCTGCATACACATCCCCACATCATCTCCTACATGTGTGCAGGCAAGCTGTCTTTTAGGACGTTGAATTATATCCTCTATCATGATCTATAATTACAGCATCAATGTCTCTACACCTTTTGTTACAAATATATGCTAATTATTTTTTCCTGTTTCAAGATTATTAAAGCAGTTCCTAGGCATTAAAGGATACTGTCAAGAGAGTCAATACTGAACAGAAGATTGGTTGGGGTAGAACAGAAGTTTCCGTAGATTAACTTAATAACTTTACACTTGCCATGATGCCTCTGAATATGTTTTTGACAGTTAGTAATTGGTGGATTTCCCCTACCTCCCTTTGAATTATTTTGTGAAATCAAATGGGTCATTATGAAGCCTAAATACTCAGTAATCTTATTTTATTTTATCATGTCAAAATTAGCTCCATTTGGAGATGTGCCCATTGTATATATCAGTACTTAGCAAATGTTTCACCCTGATGGAAAATTGCCTCTACTTTTGTCAAGAGCTCAAGATTATAATAAACGCCATGGTAATACAGAATGGCTAATGGGTCTGGAAAACCCAAGTCTTGGTCTGGAAGCGGGCCAAGGCTATCATGGATTTAAAAACAATGTGAAAAGAGGAAAAAGAGTAAAAATCGTTTTCTGAATCCAAGATACTGTGATTTCCCCCAAGACTCCATATTTTATGAGAGAAGCTAGACATAAAAGGGTTTTCTTAAGCCTGTTTGAGAATTTCTTCTCTTTCCTACTTTAGTTTCCCTTTGGCTTTTTCCATCTTTCAGTATGAATTATAGGTCTGGTTTCAATTTAAAATTTTGAACATGGGACCTGCCTGGGGTCTTAAAGATCTTAATTCTCAATTATAAGATCTATTTACCAAAATCACCCTATCTGATGACCCAGGAATGTGCAGGAAGACATGAGAAGGTATCGTGTTAAACTCAAAAATAAAATCTTGGTTAAAAGTCTCACGCTAGGAAGAATTCTGACTCTTTTGCCCATTGGTTCTTGGAAAGTTGGGTGAAGAAGTCACTTGTCTGTGGGAGCCATATTCATGATGCACTTAATGAAGATAAAAAAGCAGAGCCTCTCAGGGCTTTGCCAGAGTTAATTAGCACTCCCCATTATCTGATGTTTCATTACCTTCTAAAGTTTCTTATGAAAAGTCTCGCAAGAGGTGTTTTATGAACAAGTTGTAACTATTTTTATGGATTTTAGTGAGTTAGACCAGATTCATGACCCACAACCACTTTTGCCATTATGAGCAATATAGACTTTATTTTTTCCAGATTTTGTGCAATGAATATCAATTTTTCCCTCCTTTCAGTAGCACTTGAGAGTGACGTTTTAAGAGTTATTTTATGTGGTCCTTTACAACTGAAATGAAAATGAAAAGAAATTTTGAGATGTAAACTAACCTTTGTCCCCATTTGAAATCCTGGGAACTGGGAGTTCCCTTTTAGTGTTAAGTGCCTCGGGGGTGTGCGCAGAATGTGACAGGAGAATAGAAGAGGGTCACTCAAATCAGGGTTAGGGCTCAGGGAAGGCTTCCTGGAGGAGTGACAAAAGCTGAAGGTGAAAAATGTTGGCTACGTAAGAATGACAAATTGGACATGACACTCTGCATGTCTATTTTGGTCACCACTGTTTCTTCAGGGCTTAGCAGGAGACCCAATTGAGCATAGTAGGCTGTCAATAAATAATGGTGGTGTGACTGAGGGAAGGGCTATTAATGTGCTGTCCTTCCACCCAACATGCTTGCATTTAGCAGGAACTTAGCCCTATGCAAATGTTTTGGGCAGCAGCAGACTCTTGGGAAGAAGAGCTTCAAGGCAGATGGTGCCTCAGATTAAAAGCTCTTCTGTGGCTGCCTCCTCTGTCTTCAGCATCTGCATTACATCACTGGGACTATGGAAAGGAAAACCCAGGAAATAAATGCTAATGGTGATCGCCTAAACTCCCTTCACGAGTGGAATTTGGGCTCTCATCTGAGCTCACCAAGGGTACGTGGTGCTCTACAGAAGTGGCAGCAATCCTGAGGGGACAGCAGATGACCACTGGTCCAAAGGGAGCCTGGCTTCAACTCCAGGCCCGAGAAAAAGCTGCAGGAGAGAGTTTGGGCCAAACAAAAGTGAGCATTTGCTGGTTATGCTCATCAGGTAAGATACAGGCCAGATGGGATTTCCTCTGAGCGTCTCTCTGCACTGCCCTAAAGAGATAATGGGCTAATTTGCCACTTTCTCCTTGCCAAAATGTATGAGAAGCAGCCCTGCACATTAACACTGTCCTGTAAGCAGTAGGGAGAAATAACTCGCAGGGCATGGTGAGCGCCCTAACTTCGACTCTAGTATTTTTTATAGTCAATAATGTAGCAGAAAAATGAGTGGATAAAGATGTTTAATTTTTGAGTTTTGCTGAGGATGCTAGTAGCGTGGAAGCTTCTACCGCTGACCTTCTCTGACCACCCCGGACGACAGACGAGTACACAAACCGTTTCCAACATAGACTGTGCTCCAGTAGCTCTGTCACTGAAAATAATTTGATAACGGCTACGAAGTTTTTTCCAGCCAGAGCCCCCTGTCCTCTGCCTTCTACCACCTCCCAAACACACCTGGATGTCAGGAGGGTGACCGGGTGAGAGTACCTGGGAGCACAGTTGATGTGAAAGGCAACAAGATCTCTTGGCCACGTCCTGAAAGCAGAAGGAGATTGTGCCTCCAGAAAAGTATCAACATGCCTCTTTCCCCCCGTGAAAAACGCTTGAAAATTATTTTGATGCAAGGCTGCCACTGCAAAATATTTGCTCAATTATAGGAAAAGCATCCCTCTTGGCAGATGCATCCCCCTCCAGGACCCCTCCAGGCTTGGAAAGAGCATCTTGGGCTGGATTTCGTTCCCTACTTGTCCCCTTGCCTGGGAAGAGCCAGCACAACCGTAAATGGTGACCATAATCTAATGTACCCTTTATTTTTTTTTATTATTTTTTTAATGTTTTATTTATTTCTAGGAGAGAGAGAGACCGCGTGAGCAGGGGAAGGTCAGAGAGAGAGGGAGTCACAGACTGAAACAGGCTCCAGGCTCTGAGCTGGCAGTCAGCACAGAGCCCGACGCGGGGCTCGAACCCACGAACCGCGAGATCATGACCTAAGCGAAAGTCAGAGGCTTAACCGACTAAGCCACCCAGGCGCCCCTCTAATGTACCCTTTAAACAAGGCTTCTATTAGTACTGCAATTGGTGGCTGCAGACCTTGGGCAGGTTTGTTCTTGGCACTGAGCCATTCTTCTTCCCGCATCCCTTTTGTCTGTGCTCCTCTCTCTTCTCTCCACCTGCTACCTTCAAGCTGGACCTCCATTATCCAGATCTTCCCTCTTAGACTTCAAATTCTTCCTCCCACTTGGTGCTTTCATTAAAAATTACTCATCCTTAGGGCACCTGGGGGACTCAGTCGGTTAAGCATCCGACATCAGCTTAGGCCATGATCTCACGGTTCCTGAGTTCGAGCCCTGTGCTGACAACTCAGAGCCTGGAGCCTGCTTCAGATTCTGTGTCTCCCTCGCTCTCTGCCCCTCCTCCTCTCACTCTGTCTCTCTCACTCTCTCAAAAATAAATAAACATTAAAAAAAATTGCTCGTCCTCTGCTCCATTCCTCTAAGATCTTCTGAGGGGACAGAGCTTAATCTGTTTAATAAATTGGTGCTAAGTTGCTAATTGTTGATAACATATTACTATTCCAGATAGAACCTGGATGGGTCTTTGTATGTTGGGCCACAGGATTTACATTTTAGTAGAGATCTTTAGGGCATTAACCCCAAGGGAGATGGACACTGTGCATTTCATGCCTTATGGCATGGCCCATAGAAAGATCTTTTAGGCTGAGTTTTCTTGCGTTTCTCGGGCACTCTAGGTAGGCAGTATCGCTAGGCAAAAAGTGAATTCAGTTGATAACCCGAAGTGATATTCAGAAGTGTTGGGCAAACTGGAGATGCATATTCACAAACATTTCAAAAATTTTTAAATATTTTAAAAACATTAATGCCACTATTTTAACATTTTGTAGAATACAACTCTTACCTGCTCTCCATGTTGTACACTTTTCTTTTTCTTTCTTCTCAACGTTCTATAAATTTGCTATACTTATTTAAATTTATTGGTCTGTAAAATATATTTATTTGCATCCTTGTCCAGAAACAGCCAAAAAGTCTTGGAGTGGTTAGCTTTAGTCATAATTTGATCCAGGAGCTCATATTTTCAGGCCTCAGCTGCTCTTCTCCTCCTGCCCAATTGTTCAGTAACCTTCAATGACCCTTGACTTTTACCCTCTATATTTTTTAAAAACCTGTTTAAAACTTTAAAAAATGTATTAAAAATGTATTAAATGTATTTAAATTTTTTTTTTAATCTTTATATTTGAGAGAGACAGAGTGCAAGTCAGGGAGGAATGGAGAAAGAGGGAGACACAGAATCTGAAGCAGGCCCCGGGCTCTGAGCTGCCAGCACAGAGCCCCATGTGGGGCTTGAACTCACAGACTGAGAGATCACGACCTGAGCCGAAGTCGGATGCTTAACCAACCAAGCCACCAGGTGGCTGTAAAAATTTATTTTAATTTTTGAAAAATGTAATTGAGGTATGACTGACATATAGCATATTCATTTGAGGGGTACAACATAATGATTTGGTTGTATATATTGCAAAATGATCACCACTGTAAGTCTAGTTAACATCTGTCACCATTTATAATTACAATTTTTTTTCCCCTTGGGACAAGACCTTTTAAGATCTACTCTCTTAGCAACATTCAAATACACAGTACAGTAACATTAACTATAATCCCCATGCTGTATCTAATAGTACAAAATCTATTTTGAAATCATTTTAAATTGTGAAAGAGTTTCAAAAATCCTTCATGAAGTTCTTGAATATCCTTCATCCAGCTTCTAGTAATGTTAACTTCTTGGGCGGCAAAAGTACAATGATCAAAACTAAGACCTTAGCACTGATACAATCTAAATAAACTAAAAACTTTGAGTTTCACCAGTTTTTCCAGTTGAGGATCTCATGTCTTATTTAGATGTCACATATCCTTAGTCGCCTCCATTCTGTGACATTTCCTTAACCATTTTTGTCTCTATCGTAATGCTTTTAAAGAGTACTGACCAGTTAGTTTGTAAACACCACTCAATTTGAGTTTGATGTTTTCTTGTGATTAAACCGAGGTCATGCATTTGTGTTAAGAATACCTCAGAAATAATATATACTCTTTTCAGTCCATCATACTAGGGGTACATGATATCAGGATGTGATATTACTGGTAATGTTAATTTAACATGGTGTCAGCTAGGTTTCTCCAATGAAAAGTTAATGATATCTCCCTTTGTAATTAATAAATATCTTGGGGGAGATACTTTGAGACTACACAAATACCTTATTTTTCCTCAAACGTTCACCCATTAATTTTAGAAATCATCGATTGACTTTTGCCTGCCACAATTATTACAATACTATTCTAATAGTAATTTTCTAGTTCCCTCATTCCATCTATATTTATTAGCTGGAATTTTTCTGTAAAAAAACCTGTCTCTTCTCCATTGATGTATTTATTCAATTACTTATTGGCATCATATGAACTTATGGACATTTATTCTATAGATTACGATCCAATACTGTCATTATTTATTTTGTCTTTCAACTGGTTCATCTTTGGCTATTGGAAGCTCTTTCATGCCCTTTGATATGCTTCCATCATTACTAATTTTTTATCTTTTTGTGTTTATTCAATTTGAGAGAGAGAAAGGGAGAGACAGAGAATGCATGAGGGAGAGGGGCAGAGAGAGAGAGGGAGACACAGAATCCAAAACAGACTCCAGGCTCTGAACTCTCAGCACAAAGCTCCATGCAGGGCTTGAACTCATGAATCATGAGATTGTGACCTGAGCCGAAGACAGATACTTAACCGATTGAGCCACCCAGGCGCCTCACTTCCATAATTATTTTTGAGCCCTTCCTTACTTTCTAGCGCCTTGAGATGCTACCGACTCATATTCTGTTTTCTCTATTGCAGTCCCGGGATTGATCATGTCTCCAAGAAACCGTGGTTCCTTTTGTTGGAGAATGGTACTTGGAGCCCAAGGTCTGGGCGCTTAGGTATGCTTATCACTCCTGGGTGTCATTGTATCTAGGCCTTCTCAGAAGACAAAACTAGGAAATACACTAACTCATGCTTCCACATATGTTTATTTTTGAGTATATCAGAAATCAATCCATCTATTTGGGTACGTATTTTATTTATTTGTTTGTTTGTGTGTTTATCCACCACCTATCTGTCTATCTATTTTGAGAGAGAGCATGAGCAAGAGAGGAACACAGAAAGAGAGGGAGAGAGAGAACCCCAAGCATGCTGTATGCATGATCTTACCGACCATAGGCCTGAGCCAAAATCAAGAGTCTGATGTTTAACTGACTGAGCCAAACAGGTGTCCCCATTTGGGGACATATCTAAAAACCACAAATTCATACTAGTACCTCTAATTTCAATCCAAAATGTTAGGGTTCATTTAACTGGCTTTCTTCCCTTGTTTTCTTAAATAAGTTTATTTTTTAAAAAATATTAAAAAAAGGTTTTTTTGAGAAAGAAAAGGAATGTGCATTCATGCACAAGTAGGAGAAGGGCAGAGAGAAGAGGAGGGAGAGAGAGAATCCCAAGCAGGCTCCACACTCAGTGCAAAGCCCAACTTGGGGCTCGATCCCACAACCCTGGGATCATGACTTGAGCTGAAATTAAGAGTCAAATGCTCAACTGACTGAGCCACCCAGGCACCCCCTTTCTTTCCTTATTTTTAACTTCTTTCTCTGACAGTGAGAAAACGACTCTCATTGTCTACAATATATTTACCCATTTTCTCAAGCCTGGTATAAACATATAAAGTTGTGACCAAATTGCTTCCTTCTCTTTCCTCGGAGTTCCAGAAAAAGCTCCAAGACAGGTGCTTACCAGGCTGGGTTCTGTGTTCATCCGTGATCCATTTGCTGCAGCCAGGGGAGTGGATCAACCTGACTAGTCAGGCCTGGGATACATGTCCACTCCTGAGACGGTGGTGGGGGTGGTGGTGACTGTCCCACCTAAACCACGAGGATTAGTGTAGATGAGGGGTGGTTCCTGGAAAATTAGAGTCCAATTATCAGAAGACAGGGAAATGATTCTGGGCAGGTTAAAACCACACATGTTCTCTGCTCCATCAAGTGGGACAATAGTATAGCAATGTCAATACTGAGAGGTGTCAAGGTGGAGGAGTGAAGTATAGAAATACTTGCATCGATGCCAATGACTGCAAAAAGGTGAGTTTGGTTTTTTTTAAGTATGTACAGTTGATAAGAACAGGAATATTGCTCCAATTTAACAAGAGTTATTGCCAGGCTTGTAGGCTTGACCTACTTTAAGAAGAAAGAAAGAGATTAACATGATGTTCTTTGGCCAATTTCATGCAGAAATTCTACAAAATGGCTGCTAGGTTCTGCCTAATTCCAACAGGCTCCTCTACCCAAGATTTGGGCAGCTGCCTCAAGGACACCCCATGAGATTGGAGGGGCCAGTCAAGCCCTCTTGAATTGCTGACTGCACATTTTGAGATCACTTTTTTTAAAAAATATTTTTTTAATGTTTGTTTATTTTTGAGAGACAAAGACAGAGCATGAGCAGGGGAGGGGGAGAGAAAGAGACAGACACACAGAATCTGCAGCAGGCTCCAGGCTCCGGGCTGTCAGCACAGAGCCCGACACAAGGCTCGAATCCACCAACCGTGAGATCATGACCTAAGCGAAAGTCGAACGCTTAACTGACTAAGCCACCCAGGCGCCCCCGGAGATCACATTTTTTAATGTTACTTATCAACGGCTACAACTTAAAGCTGCTATCCAGTAGAAAAACTTCAAAATTCAAAATTCTTTGCAAAGTTGGAAAGCCACAGAAACATTTAAGTATGATGTAGAGTCGTTTGTGTTTTTTAAATGTTTTTATTTTTGAGAGCAAAAGAGAAAGAAGGTGAACAGGGGAGGGGCACAGAGAGAGGGGGAGACAAAGAATCCAAAGCAGGCTCCAGGCTCTGAGCTGTCAGCACAAAGCCCAATGCAGGGCTGGAACTCACAGACCACAGGATCATGACCTGAGCCAAAGTCAGACACTTAATCAACCGAGCCACCCAGGCGCCCCTGTTTTGTTTTGTTTTTTAAAGGTACAGAGTTGGTGACTGCTATTTAGTCTTGTGATGTGAATTCTAAATCACTCCTTCAGGCCAGACCTCTTTGGGTTTGCTTGCTCTGGTCTCCAGTGCTGAAAAGAAACCAGTGCCTGTCCTGACTTTGAGAGAAAGTTCCAGGGACAAACATGGGGCTCTGTTAGCCTCATTGTAGGCAGCAGTAATATTTTCCTTGGTGTGCTTGGTAACGAGGCTGCTCCCTCTTTTCCTGCCTTTTGTCTTATTAATACTTCACTTGTGCAGAAACTTCCTTAATGAAACAGTGCATTTCATTAATCTAGCATTCGGCTAAAAATCACATCTTAACAAGATTTTGTATCTCTCAGCCTGTTTAAAAAGTCAACTGCCGGGGCGCCTGGGTGGCTTAGTCAGTTAAGCGTCCCACTTTCGCTTAGGTCATGATCTTGCGGTTCGTGGGTTCGAGCCCCGCGTCGGACTCTGTGCTGACTGTCAGCTCGGAGCCTGGAGCCTATTTCAGAGTCTGTGTCTCTCTCTCTCTCTGATCCTCCCCTGCTCACGCTGTCTCTCTCTCTCTTTCCTAGAAATAAATAAAAATATTTAAAAAAAAAAAAAGTCAACTGCCTCTTTAAAGGGGCTTGGCCCTTTTTCTCCTCTGCGTTGTTAGAATGTGTCCCATAGAATACAACAGTTTTTATGCAGCAACTCAGTGGTTTAATCACAATGCAAAAACAACATCGCTAATCTGAACGATCTACATGGATGACAACTCATTAAAATAACTATCAATTAACAACATAATTGTCATTTATCCGTTGCCAACATTAAAATAGGCAATTGTTACTTTTATGAGGCTTTTGTGCTTTCCCCCCACTCCCCTTCACAGAGCATGGATATAGGGCAGGGACCTGGGTTGAAAACTTGAAACTGATGACCAAGTTACTTGTTGTTTTAATCATTGGATCATCTTTCTTATGGTTGTTCTGAAGTAAAATGGTGGTGCTAGTCATAAAATTTCACGCCAGGCTTGGCAGGTCGATCTTGCTTGGGTTCTGAAGTCTCTATAGCATCAAATGCGTTGCCAGGTCCATATTCTGTCTAATTAGGGGCTATTATAGACAGAGCATGACATGTAAGTTCTCTCCCATTTTGTTCCAACAAGATCATGTCAAAGAAAACCCAGCCTCTATACGAAGGCAGAGTCTGCTTTGGCCAGTGCAGCTGAAAAGAACTTAGCCGGCAGCCTCAGGATAATGACCTCCGTGTTTTCCTCTCTACGCTATTGCAACATAGAGACCTGAGCCGCTATAAGTGAGTGGGCAAAAATAGAAGACAAGAATCAGGGTTCGGTGGAGAAGGGCACTGTGAAGATCACAAGTACCGTGACCACCGTATGAGTTGCCTATCTCTCTGTCTCTTAGAAGACAGGTGGAGGGTAGAATTAGGTTCCTGGTCATGCAAGAACCCCTTCAGGAAGAGCTGCCTAAAGTAAGATTCCAACCTGTGTTTGGGCACAAATCACTTCGTGGTAAAGTGATTTCTAGCGAAGCCACAGAAGTAGCTAGAATAAAAAATTAGGACATACATCCAACCCGTGCTTTTGCATTGGGCCAGTTCATCCACACATCATCACCTGGTACTTCTCCATTTGAAGACAGAAGTTTGACTTGGAACTTGCAACAAGCATTCACTCCCTTCCTGGGGGCCCCCACAGGGGAATGGAGAAACATGCTTTTGAGCCAGATCCCAGGTATTGGAATAGCAGCACTTGGAGCTACTGCCAGGGGGTATCCAGGCTCCTTTGTTGGGTCTTTAATTTCTTACCTCTAAAATGATGAGAAGCATTCCTCTTTGTAGGGTTGTTTAGAGGATTCAGTGCCCTGGTGGTGCTTACAATGGCCAGTTGCTATTAAAGAGATAGCGACAAAGACACTTTTGCTGACCTACAAATATTTAAGTATGAAGTAGCTTTGCTTCTTTGATCTTAATGAAAGGGACTTTAAATTCTTAAAAATTAAAAAAAAATCATCAATGAGTGATTACATTTTAGAGCTCACTTTTGAAATTCAGTGGGCTATTATTATTATTATTACTATGCATAATAACTTCATTAGTCGTCAGCTCCTGAATCAAGCTTTTCTGTATAGTTGGATAGGCGCTGTTGGTAAGCGAGCCAGTTTTGCAAACAGACTGTGACATGTACAGGTGGAATTGAATAACAGTATAGCAAATATCCTTTGTCTTCCCCTCGTGGGTGCATCATTTGATTGTTTATAGTATAGCCAGCATTCCAAAGACAGCAAGAACTCTTTTTTATCCCAATTTAACAATTGTGTTTTGAAGAAGATATGGCTCTGCTTTTTATGCTCCTTGGCTTAGGGTTGTGTGTGTGTGTGTGGGGGGGGGGGACATTTTATGTGCCAAAGAACAAGTTTTCCATTTATGGAATATTTTGCATATTTTTCTTCTCTAAATGTTTCCCTTCAGCCAGCCCATTGTCAGGCTTGGCACTGACGACCCTCGTGATTCTCGCCGCATGCGTGCTTCTCCAGCTGTGTGGGAAATGCACTTTACCTTGTGGCTCCACCCTTCAAAGGTTATGTTTGCCGCACGGAAGAACAGTTCACTCTGCCAATCGGGAACGTCTCATTGCATCCCCTTTCCACGCCATCTGTCTGACCTGGACCCATTCCAAACACTACGGCTTTGCTGGCAGAATGGTCTTCCTGCTACAGAAGTTTTGTAATCTGCTAATTGACAGGGTAAGGAAAATTTGTATTTGGGTTACAGCTGAAAAGTTGGATGTTTCTTTGATGGAGCTTTAAATACTGACATATGCTGCATTGGTTTTTGATTTTAGGCATCCCATTTGTGCATGATCACGCACTCTCCCCTGTGTTCTCTGCCTCATTGAGAATATGGCATCCTTCAGAGAAGAACACCGATGTGGTCTACCAGAGAATTATCCTCTACTTGGTTTACTCATTAAGCAATGATTTTATTATTATTATCTCTTTGTAGTATGAGACAGATGGCAAAGCAGGAGTTTGCTTTATGGAACGAGATGCGGTGTTGGGCACGGCAAATCACCTGAATGGTTAATATCTTCAGTCATCATTCTGTCTAATGAACGCCTTTGCTTTCATACAAGGCCTGGTCCTACACTCAACTCTTAATTTAAGAGCAAAGTGGTCGTCAATCCTCTTTTTGGGCCCATAGGCTAAGGGTAGAAGAATCCTGGAGAAGGAAATATCTTTAAAATCACGATGTTCAAGTTCACACTTGGAGTCATCCTTCTCTTGAAATTGTGCTTTTAAATCTTAGTGTGAGCAAACCCCATGTCACCAAGTGTGGTTGTGTGTGGAATGATCAGACCCGTGTCCCTAAAGCACGATCCACTCTACACAGGAGCTACAGACACATGTTGGGGATAGTCCACGAGTGGGGGGTGATGCTGAGGCTCTGGCCTCCATAGGCCCCTCTCTCAGCTGTACCCCTCGCCCAGCGCCAAGCAACGCTCAGCATGAGGAAAGATGAGAACGAAAGAGAGTTTCTTCCCTACCTTTGAAAACTTCAAAGACGTTCCCAATCTGGTTCTGATGATCCATGTCTCAGTGCAAAGCAAACATAAAGATCTAAAACCTGTGCACTGATCAGAAATCGTTTTTGGAAATTCGGGTTTAATCCCATGAGCCAAATGATCACTACCAACAGCGATCAGGGAAAACCAAAGTCCACAGCAAATTTTCATTTGGCAAATGCATAAAATGTTCAAAAGAGCAGAGGTCTCATTTACATTCCTTCCTCTCATATGGGATTTTCTTCTATATTAGTAATTAAAGGGTGCAGGCTATAGAGTGCAACTATATCACATAATAGCCATCGGGGACACACTAACAACTTCCTTGAAGTAACGCACACTAGGGTGTTTATGGTTCAGTGTCACATAGACTCTCTTTGATCTAAATTAGGATTCATTGGCAAACTCACAATAGGCTCCACATGTACCCCTCTCAACCTCTTTCTTTTAATCATGGAAATTAGAGATGGAAAATACCCATTAAGTCACTTAGTCCACTTCCCTGCCAGGGTGAAATTGTTGCCTGTGATACACTGGTAGTGCTTGGTCCAGCTTAAATTTAAACGTCTCAGGGGGACATACAGCCTCTTGATTTTATAGTTTTCCTTTTCACTTACAGTTCAGAGAGGGGAAAAATCTACAACAGAGGAAGAGATCCCCTCCCCTCCTGAGGGAGGCACTGGAGTTAATGCTGGTGGGTGAGGGAATGTCAGCCTTGTGGAAACCACACCTTTCGCTGTGGCAATTTCATTACTTGTAAGGCACACAGTTAAATTCAACCCCCGCCCCCAACATGTTTTACTCCTCAGCTCAGTGAAACTATCCAGCTTCCGGGACTTTTCCTGCAAGCTCAAGCCAGCAAGCGTCCCTGGTTCAGTGGGAGAGGTGAGGCCCGGGGAGGGAGAGCCTGTCTACTTTTCGGTCTCTGGCTGATTTGTTATAAGCTGCACAGGATCTCCTGTGATGTCACTGGCACAGTGTGAGCTCATGAACGGAACACTGCCTATGTTATTCTGGTGAGTGACCCATTAGGGTATTTTTATACTTTGAACATTTGGCATCTGAAAGATGAGAAATGTGCATCGTTGCACAATGAATTCTGTCCCCGAATTGTGTTCAGCATCTGCTCCTTTGTCTGGCTGTTGAAGTCAGTTTGATGGGAAAGCAGCAAACTCCCAGGGACCATCTTGCCCCTGGGGTCCCTAGGAGACACGCGGCAGTGGCGGCTTGGACTTGAAAGAGGAGCTGATGTCCATCGTGACATTTGCATTTTGGGTTTGTTTCAGAGGCCGTGTTTCAGTCAGCCACAATCGCCGGTGAGCTTGCACTGAGAAAAGTCTAAGTGAACCTTTCAAATCTAGACACAGATGTGTTAGAGTTGTGATCATTCACATTATAAGATGGAAGTCTCCCCCACCCAAAGTCACTGCAAGTTTCATTAAATAGTTAACTTTCCCAACACATTTGAAGGAGGATCCAGTTTGCAAAACCTGATGTACAACAGTGTCTTAGGAAGATACCTATTGGGCTTTCTATTAGACAGAAAATGTTGGCCTTTCTGTACGTCTGTGTTAACTATGCTTTCACAGAGATACTTTCCAGGGCTTCTGCATTGCACAGTGTATTCCCGGGATGATTCTTACTTTAACTACCTCTGAGTGGTAATTGATACTGGGACTTTGAATGGAAAAAAAAAAGATCAGAATTAGGTACAAGGTGATGGTCTAGAATAAGAATTCTCCTGAATACAATTCCAGTACTGAGTCCTGCTTTGCTAATGAAAATCTTAATTTTTTTAAACTTTATTTATTTAAAAAAATTTTTATATATATTGAGATTTAATAGAGAGCAAGTGGGAGAGGGACAGAGAGAGAGACAGAACCCCAAGCAGGTTCTGCACCGTCAATGCAGAGAGCCCAAGGCAGGGCTCAAATTCATGAACTGTGACATCGTGACCTGAGCCCAAGTCAAGAGTCAGACACTCAACCAACTGAGCCACCCAGGAGCCCCTGAAAAATCTCAAATTTTAAAGCAGATGTGGCAGAAACTGCTTGTCATTCTCCCAATCTCCATTCTCCCTGACACATATTTATTTATTTATTATTTTTAAAGTTTATTTATTTTGAGAGGAAGAGGGAGAGAGCAAGCATGAGCAGGGAAGGGGCAGAGAGAGAGGAAGAGAAAGAGAATCCTGAATGGGGAGATTCTGGACGGGGGCTCAAACTCGCAAACCACGAGATCATGACCTGAGCGGAAACCAAAAGTGGGACGCTTAACAGACTGAGCCACCCAGGCACCCCCTCCCTGACTTTTACTGTTTTCCACCCACCCCCACGGCTCTCCCGCCCTACCTCTTACCTGGGCGAGGCTGTGCGAGGTTGAGCGGCATGGAGCCCTTCTGGCTGGGGGGTCCCTCGTCCTGTTGCTGTCAGCCTGGAGAACAGACCTGGTGGTTGGAGCTCTAGCTGCTGCGAAGATCACTGAGATGAAGACCACTCTTACGAGTGACTGCAGGTGGCTGAGTGCTAGATAATTTCATAGAGCTGCCTGACCGACCTCAAGACTCCCTTTGCATAAAAGAATCACACCCAGTGTTTCAAGTCACTGTCTTCTGAAGGGTTTCTGTCACCAAACCTATTTCTGATTTGGTAGATACTTAACGTCTTGTTAAAGTCTAAATATTTCTGTTTCAGTGGATAGTTGATGCCAGCTGATGTTTGTTTCTCTGAAAGTGATCCTGAAATGTTTGGAGGTATGTGCAATAATCCAAAGGTTATTCCCAAATATACAGACTCCCAAATACACGATTAGCTGAAGTGAAGAGAAGAAGCCTTCTTGTGGTTTCTTCTATCCATCCTGCTCACGACATGTAGGAACGTACATTTCCACCCCATAAAGGATTTTGGGATGCCCCAGGCCAGAAATAATGCTAGTAGGGCTAAACATTGAGTGACTGACAGGAGGGACACATGACTAGGAGGTCAGGACCAGGGTAAGGGTAAAACGAGACAGAGGATGGAGGTAGATGGATTCCAAAGGTATCTGATCTGTACATCAGATCAACTGAAGTAGGGGAAGAACACATCTTAGAATGTTATAGACTTTTGGTCTTAAAATGAGAGGCACTGAGATTCAGTTCTGTTTGATGTGTGCTTGTCACATGCTTCCCTCGGCCAGCCCGGGACGCTCCGGATGGTGTCCCACTGAGCTCCGGGCAGACACCCTACCCCCCAGAGTGGCTGCAGAGCCTCCTTGCTGGCTGGGTTGCCCTTGGCAACCTATGGCATCTTGCAGTGCACCTGCGTCGAGTTACACGGCTTCTGGTTTATATTACCCATGTTTAAGTATATCCTCGCAAAAGGAGGATTGCAACTTAAAAATATCCCTACAAAGAAACTGCTGGTTTTGCCTGTCATACTAGTATCGTCCTCAAACAGATGCATATAACTTATAAATAGGGAAATAAATATACATCTACCAGGGGTTTAGCCTTAAGTTTTTCCCTGCAGAGATGGTGAGATTGCAAAAGTTCTTCTTGTATAGACTAAGAAGGCCCATACCTTCAATTCCAAGTTTGAGCTTCCTAGAAACTGTGAGAAGCGAGAGGGAGATAGAAAAAGAGATGGGCAGTTAAGACATAATTTTTATGCTCAGAAGTGACAAAACATACTATTTCCTCAAGATGAGTAAAACTTTCTCGAGCTTGAAAGAGAAAGTTTGTTATGGGGTATTTACTATCAGGACTGGGGGATACAGTGGACAATATCCTCAATTTTTTTCCTATAGATGCTGTAAGAGTTTTGTCTAATGGCTTCACAAAAGATTCTTCCGGGGCGCCTGGGTGGCTTAGTCGGTTAAGCGTCCGACTTTCGCTTAGGTCATGATCTCGCGGTTCGTGGGTTCGAGCCCCGCGTTGGGCTCTGTGCTGACTGCCAGCTCAGAGCCTGGAGCCTGTTTCAGAGTCTGTGTCTCCCTCTCTCTCTGACCCTCCCCTGCTCACGCTGTCTCTCTCTCTCTCTCCTAGAAATAAATAAAAAATATTAAAAAAAAAAAGATTCTTCCTAAATGTTGACAGCAAAGTATCCAAATTCAGCTCAAGGGAAGAAATTCTGCAAGGGGGGAAGATAACACAGCCTGGGTATTTGGCTTTCTGGTGGTCCATTTAAATGCAAGAATCAAGCCTAGCGTAAGTTTATCTTTCTATAAACATGACTTCATCCAGTGGGGCTTTGGGCTGGAGTGGGCCGAGCAGTCAGTCTGGGTATAGGTTCACTGATGAGGGCTGGAGTCCACTTATGTGTGGGGCTCGTTGGGGCAGATTCAGGTACTTGGGAAGTGAAACACGTTGGGGCTATCTTTTTGAGAAAATGAAGACTTCAAGGGTGCCCTGACCTGGGTGGAGAACCATCCCATGGGTGCCAAGAGAGTAGCACTGAGGGCAAAGCCACGTTTGTTAAACTGGATCCTAGCGCGCATGGCAAAAGCACCAAGAGGTATGTTTTTCATCTTGTTCCCTTGATTCTTGTGTCCCCGATGTGGGCAGCCAGATGGAAAATTTCCCCACGCATGACCTTGATCAGATTTCAGGCAGTGGGATTCTTTCATGGTTTTAAGATCTCAGTGAATGCTTCCCCTCACCTCTGGTGTGGGTGTTTCTTAGGCAATTATCTGCTGGCCAGGGCCATGAGTCCCAGAACCAGGCTACCGAGTTCTGAGCCCTGGCTGCACAACATATTCTGAGATCTGGGGTACTGTAGAGCTCTTCTCTGTGCCTCAGTTTTTTCATTTAAAAACAAACAAAGGATGAGAATACCATCTCACAACCTCTTAGGACAGTGCCTGGAACATACTAAGTGGCCAGTAAATGTTGGTGTTTAATATTATAAGCAAAGGGGACATGAAAATAAAGAAATGTTTATAATATTATAAACAAAGGGGACTCCTGGAGTCAGGCTGCTGGGAGTCAAACCTTGACTCTTACACATACTTGCATGGCCTACTTAGCTCCTCCCTTGGTGACATGGGTGTGGGTTGGCACCTTGTTCATGGGGTTGCTGAATGGGTTACACCAAATAGCATCAGGACAGGTGCCTGTGCACAGTGGGGGCTCTCTAAGTGTTGTTTGTTACCACTGCGAACGCAGGGCTCATACCTGGGATCCTTGCAGTGCTAACATTTCACTTTTATGTGGATGCTACATCCAGATAGCTCAGTTTTCACTCTTACCCTGTCACTGTTGACTGATGGTTTAATGTTTGGCTTAAAATTTATTTATTTTATTTTATCTTTTAAATTTTTTTCATGGTTATTTATTGTCGAGAGAGACAGAGAGTGAGCAGAGGAGAGGCAGAGAGAGACACAGAATCTGAAGCAGGCTCCGGGCTCTGAGCTGTCAGCACAGAGCCCAACATAGGGCTCAAACCCGTGAGCCGTGGGATTATGACTGGAGCCAAAGTCAGACGCTTAACCGACTGAGCCACCCAGGCGCCCCATGTTTGGCTTAAAATTTAAACCAGGGTCCCTTCCTCTTTTGCCCAGCATAGGCTTAGGGGATGGATGCCCCTCTTTTTGTACCCCGATTTTCTTATATCTGTGCAGAATGATTGCCAAGGCATTGCACAAACAATATGTATCCATCAGCCTATAGTCTCATTACAAATTTTTATTCCATGATTTGGTTAACATCTCTGAAGCAGCAAACTTGTGATTTGTTTTCACCATGTTCTCCTGAGACTCCTGGCTCTGTCGCAATCCTCAGACTTTCCTGTGGGCCTCCTCCTCCCTCCCCGCCCTTCGCTCCCCCTCCCCCTCCTTCCCTTCCTTCCTCCCTCATGGGCGGGGGGCGGGGGGGGCATGTCATTTTCTCAGAAGTTGCCTAGCGGATTGAACACTTGGAACATTGCAGGAGTGAGCTACTCCCATTGGTTATATTTTGGGTGTGTTTTTCCCAGCACAAATGTGAAAGTTGAGATAAATTTGGGCAATGTTTTAGGAATCTCTCCTCCTCTCTCCCTACCACTCTACCCACCAGGTTCATGCGCAACAATTAATTGCCTTAGCTTCCAAAAAGAGCTCCCAGGATGGCCTTCTGGTAAAGGGAGGGGGAATCACGTCCTCACGGATGGAGTTAGATGTGCTGTGTTTGTGGTCCAGTTGAGACATCTGGGACCTCATTAGAGATGGGGTAAAGAGGATGCCAAAGGGCTTTAACATTTTTTTAAATCTCCTACACTACACATAAGAAAATCTTATGCTCCGTGTCCGCACGGGGTTAAACCAGGACTCATGTTTTGTTGGTACACACGAATGTGTGTACTGGTTGTTTGAATGTGGAAATCCCTCCGTGCCCATGGGTACATTGCCCCTGCCCCAAGTTCCTGCGCCACACGCTCTCCCTCACCCCAGCTGCTCGGGCTCCATCAGAACATGCCCCCTCGCCCCCCATCGCTTCCCCATGGTGCAGAATGTCACACTTGGATTAAACCACATGGTGAGGTTGATGTTTAAAGTATCTCACGTGACGCAGATCTGGCCCCAGCAAGCCTCAAGCGTCCCCCATCTGCCTTCTCAGGGTCTCTTTTCTGTCCCATGACATCCTTGTCCCTTGCAGCCTTGCATTTTGCAGGTGAGTGCCTCTGCTACTCAGGGACGTGACCACGGGCAAGTTCCCAAGCCCTGGCCTTAGGCTGCCCACTGCAACAGAGAGCTGCTCTGTGAGGTGAGGTAAGAACATGACTGATGCCTGGAGCTTGGCATATGCGAACATATCAAGGAGGTTAGCTCTCCTCTCCTCTTCCTTCCCTCCCCTCCTCTTCTTCAGTCCTTTGTCACCATCATTCAGTGCCCAGGGATCCAGTCCCACTAATTACCAAGTTGTTAAGCAGTCAGATGTTTATGAAAATGCTAGTAGTGCTCACCTGTGTTCAGGAAGGGTCAAGGGAAGGGGATGGGAAGAGCCTTCATCCTTTCTGTTTGGACCTATCTACTTCTTACTGAGTCTCGAGGAACATTCAAGAGGATACGAGTGTATTTCCAATTCTCCAGTGACTTATGGAAGCAGCTTCCAGTCATTTTATCCCATAAAGGATAGTCTCCTAAACACCCGTGCTCCTGAACATTTCTTCTGAAGTAGTAGACGAATGACGAAAGCTCTTTGTCGGGCTTACTTTCCTTCCAATAGATGTTTCTTGAGCCCTGTAGTCATTTGTTCTGCTGACAAGGGGGGACTTTGTACACATATTGGTAGTTGGATATGAGCTTTCTTAGGCTCAGGAAGAATCAGCGACTTGCCCTGGTTCACAGAACCTGCTTTTCAGTGATGGACCTGGATGGAATTAGGTTACCTGGGATGATGGCCCATCCCCAGTCCCCAGCTCCACCTCCGTGCCTGGCCGTAGTTCCATGCCGTCCCTAATCGCTTCCTGTTTTAATTCTATCTCCATATACTGATCCTAGTGCCTCCCAGATCCATGAGGTAATCTGTGATAAGAGTAACTGACAAGATTGAGCCAAAATCTGCTGTCTTTAGACGTAAGTCTGATGCAGGCCTCAATTCCCAAAGATTAAAAATGCCAAGCAGTGTAGAAAAGCATTCCATCAACTCATTTATTCATTCGTGTATGTATTTATGGAGGCTCTATGTATCAGCATTGTGCTTGGTACCAGGGAACAGGTATGCAACAAGGTCCCAGACACAGGCACGTAAAAATTAAATTGCAATACCAGGCAGCCTTTGCTTTAAGTACCGATAATAAATATTGAGGCTATAAGTAAGAGCTTAAGAAGAATGTGCCGTGTGCTGAAATAGTTAAGAGAAGACTTCGTTGAAGGAGTGAGTCTTAGAGCCAAGATCTAGGCGGAGTCAAAGCTCAAGGGGGAGGTATGCACATGGGAAGTGTTAAGACTTAACTGTATAAGACACCACGAACCACAGGTGATGTGGGGTTATGGCCACCACCTTTAGTCACCCACGTGTGTCTCGGGAAATGGAGACCAGGGGCAGGTGAATTCTGGGGAGCAAGACATCATGGTCATTTACAAACTGGGAGAGCAGATGCCATGGGGACTATGGAAGAAAGGGACGAGGAGCGAGGAGAGGAGGTAGAGTTTGATTCTGTGCCACCATGAAGACATTTAGTTTCATATTATTTTATCAAGAACAGATGTTTGTGGGAGTCAAATTGATTCAAATGCAAAAAACGCCAGATCTGAGATGTATTAAACTCTTTGGGAAAGCTTTGGGAAAACTGGAAATTTTACAACCTATGGATTTCAGTGCTGCATTGATGTAGCAATCTTACGCAAGAAATGTATAATATGAAGTCTATTTTACCCTCTCATAAAACTTGAGGATGAAATGTATGAGGGAAGACAACATAGGGAATATTTTTGTAGAACTTGTAGTAAATTCAAGTTATCCTACTGCACAGCTGGGTATATTCATTGGCTGGACTCCAGAAAGTTATAAAGGGAATATGAGCAAATGCAGCTTTTGCTCCTCAGAGTTCATCAAAATCCAAATCTTTTACAATTCTTTTTATGTTGGCCCTAAAATGTTACTTGACTGAAATAATCTTCCCCTCGATGGCAAAGAATGTCTCACAAGCTACAGATTAATTGGTCAACTTGACATTCCAGGTTCCCAATAGCTAATGCTGCCCCCCCTCCCTTCTTCTAGAACATGGATCTTATGGGTGATTTATGGGTGGGAATGATTTAAGGCTCAATTACCCTCCTTTTAACAATTCCTATAGTGCCTCTTACTCTGAATTGTATAGCACTTCTCATTTGGTTCCCTGTGCTCCAAAAATTTTCCCTTTCCATTTTAATGTGCTCACTTCTTCCTTGACTTTAAGACTCACCTTGAAGGAAAAATGAACATTTATTGATGCTTCGTATGTACCAGACACTGGCCAGACATTAACATTGCTTATCTATGTGAAGTCAACAGCTCTTTGAAGAAGGTATTATTTTTGTGCCTCCTCCCAACTTCCTTTTATAACTAGAAACCAAGGCTTAGAGATGTTAAGAGACTTGCCATTGCTGATGTCACGGTAAATGTGAATTAGGGTGACTGTAGAGGTCTCTGATTTCCCCTCTTCTGAGAAAAGCCCCCAATATCCAGGGATGGGCAAAAGCACCTCATCCTTGTCAGGCCAACTGGATCATTCCTTGGGAGTTTTGCCA